CGTAGAAAAATTCAGCTAGTGAATGCTATTTTCACAAAGATGGATTGGTGGACAAACAGTTGGATAAATAAAGAAAATTTGAATGTTATTCGTACTTTTGTTTTTACTGTGGTTACAGAAAGGAAAATATTTTCAATTGAATACCTCCGACACGTAGATGACAATCTGGCTATAGCAGCTGAAGATGGGACGATTAATGTTATCGATGCGAGAGGACTTGTACTTGTAAAACGAACTAAAATAGAAGAAGATGATGGTCCACCAGTACAGTTATTTGCTGCTGATAATTTGCTGTATGTGCTCACTCATCATGGCAATGTGTATTGCTTAGACTGCAGGTTGCTTTTACAAGCTTTATTTACATCTATTTTTTTAGCTTTAACAAATCTGCTATGGTTCGGACCTTTGTTGCTTTTTTTTTTTTTAGGGTCGCAACGAAACCTGTGACTCTGTGGAACATCAAAGCAAAAAATAAATATGGTTTGATTACCTCTTTTTGTGTTGATCCGAGTGGTCGGAATTGGATGGGTCTTACATCAACTGGAGGATGGTTAATACTGTGGGATCTTAGGTAAGAATAGTACTGTCTAGTGAGGTGGTTTCGAGTTTCAAAATCTGTATTGTAGTAATTTTTATTGCAAAATTTATTCTACTTACTATTTGCTTTGGTTTTTAGGTTTGGTCTCCAGGTGAAAGATTATAGGCACTCTTGTAGCTTATTGGGGTGTTGGCCTGGTTATCCTCTATATCCTAATACTCCTTTTAAAGAAGTGTGGACGGCGTCTTCCGATAATGGTGAATTGTCACGCTGGGATTTGGAGACTGGTGAACTTTCTTGTGCAATTTGGCCTTGTCCTGAAGAGCCAATTTTTAGCCGCGCTAAGGTAAGAGATTATATATAATAATGCATTTTTTACACTTTATAGTGCAATCATATACATCCTGTTATTGATTATTCTGAAATAATTTTCTTATTGAAGATTGTCTACTAAATACCTTTATTATTATGTCTTAAGTATACGGTGGCTGTATCTTACTTTGGTATCAACAAACTGAAATATTCACCTTGACTGGCTGATATTATAGTCTTTAGTGTTTTTTTTTTACTTGTTATATATATATATATATATATATATATATATATA